GAAGGCCTGAGACTCCAGAGCCCCCCATGGTTCCCCTGCCAGTGAGGCCCAGAGACACACCAAGGCCTGTTACTTAGGCTCTGAAAGGGGGTGGGGGCTGAGGCTGCTGGTGCTGGTTAGCTTCCCCTTCCCAGGTCACTGCAAGGGCCTCCGCAGGCTGAAACATACACTGGGAATAGGAGGTGCACTTTGGACCCCACGCGAAGATGAGCACTACCCCGCTGCCATTGGCACAACCTGCAGCCTGTCCTGCTTGCTGCACTACTGTGTTATCATGTCATCCCCACTCACCAACCAAGGGGCAAGGCCACGGATACACAAAGGGCTGATGGACACAAGAAGGATGCTGACAGGCCTAGACCGCTGCAACCGCACTCCTACAGAGTCGGTGTGCACACGAGAACAATGCTGGCATCTCTGCCACCATAGCTTGGTGCAGTTCTGCCAATAAATTCCCCCATGGAGACAACCACCAGGAGACTTCCCCACTGTCAGGGGATGCACTCGCCTGTCTCCTAAAAGAGACTGCAGCCTTAGGACAGGCTAGACTTAGCACCAAGGCCTCCTTCTCTCTGGCCCTTTGGTGCTGGAACCCACCGGTGCTCAGCACTGGCACCAGGAAGAGTCTGTGCCAGTGCAGAGAATGCGGAGAACTCTGCAACAGGTGCTGGGCATGGGGCAGCTGAGACGACTCACCATCATCATCCTCCTCTACGAGCTTCTTGGCGACTCTAGGAACCACCTCTCCATCCTCGTTGTACTCCTCCTCTGACTCCTCGGCTTCGCTCTCCACAAAGTCAGACATGGCTGCAGTTCCGAGGGACTCTTCCTGGTAATGAGGAAGGGTGGGTCAAACCCAGCCAAGGGAACAGGAAACAATTTCCCGAGGGTGAGTGAAGGCAGCAGGACTCCAAACCACTGCTGAAGGATGCAGAATGACCCATAATTTGTCCTGCACCAACACCTCCCTTGCCATGGATTATGCAAATCAGAAAGCAGCTGGGGGCTTGAGCTGCCTTCAGCTCAGCCTCGGCAAGCAAGAGACGCCAGATCAAAGGAGCAGTCGTGACAGCGCCGAACTCCCGTAGGTGGCAGAAGCAGGGCCCATGCGCAGCTGAAGCCATCTGTCTCATTTAGCCCCCTTGTTCATACAGCAGAGCAGCACCGTGCTGGCACCAGCAAAGTGCTGCTTGATGTATGCAGCCCGAGCAATTACAGAGTTATCAGGATTAGCCCTCACTTGGTTCCTGAGGTCCAGGGGAGCCTGGCATGGCATGCTGCTGCCATAATCCTATCAAAAGAGCTCCCCAAAGACTGCCAGTAAAGCAGGTAGGGGGAAGGGGCCACTGAAAGGCCCCAAAGGGAACAGCGCTTCAGGGGGCTGGACGTGACATGGTGCAGAGTCCCCCGACACCACCCCTGCCCTGTGGCGAGCTGCTGGATATCACCACAACAGGGCAGGAAAACCTGGCAGGACTGGCACCAAGGGACTGGACAAGCACTGGAGAAGATAGGACTTGGCTTGTGTGTGTGACCCAGGCTTTGCCTGCCATCACCCTACCAAAGGCCTTCTGGTAGCCCTGGAGGCCCGGGACACACCCACACATGAGGGCAAGCCACACATTCACAACACCACCCTTCCCTCTCCTCCAGCTCCTGGCAGTGCAGCTCACACCCCTTTCCAAAGGCAGGTCATTTCTGTACTCCAAAAAGTAACCTCAAGACAAGAGAACCACCCAAAAACAGAGTCCTCCCTGCCAAATTCCACCTCTGATGTGTCGGGGAAAACACAGCCAGGAGCAGCTCAGCTTAGAAGTGCAAACGGAAAAAAAAAAGAAAGAGAAAAAAACCCAACACGCTAACACCCCAACGCACTGGGAAAGGCGTGGGGAGAGGAGCCAAGGGGCAGAGCTCTGCAGTACCACAGGTGACAATGCCTGGGACACCCAGAGGCATTCAACAGCACCTGCAATCGCCTTCCCCTGCTGCAGAGAAAAGCAGCAGCGCCCAGGACAACTGACTGCGGTTCTGACGGCAGGGAAGGGCAGTCATGCCATGCATCTGGCTTGTGCCTGTCCCCAGACATGTTGGTCCCACACCTGCAGCTGCTGACCCAAAAGCTGAGACTTTTCCTCGTCTGGCCTTGGAGACCTGCCCCAAGCCTCTGCGCAGCAATGCACCGGCCCAGGTCTCCACACAGGAACACCTGCCGCAGAGACGCAGGAAAGCCGGCCTGAGATCAGAGCAGCAGACTGCAGCTTGCGTTCCGCAGGCCAGCACTGCGTGAGGACTGCTGGGCTCCCGCCAGCATCTGTTTACAACGCGCTAGAGACAAGGACAGGCAGCCACCACCTGGGGCTAGAACAACACGTCTCTGTGCCCAGACAGGCCATCGCCCTGTGGTTCCCATTCACGCACACGTCATCCGTGCATGACCCTGGGCATTTTTGCTGGACAGCCTGCACAGATATGCTTAAGTGGCGGCGGGTGCAGGCTAGAGCTCTTTGCCCACTGTCCTCCCCCCGGGACCCCTTGTTATTAACCCATGACCTGCCCTCCTGGTCCTGTCTTTGCATCCTTTGTCCCAAGGACTCAACTGTCACACAGTTAGTGGCCTCCTGCTAACCACTGAGGGAGACTTGCAGTTTCCTAGTGGCAGCATCCTTTGCAGGCCAGTTTTGCTTCCAGCCTGTCTAGACAGCAGAAGTGCCTCAGCTCAGCTCAGCTCATTTATCAACACACCCAGCCGGTAGATCCAGAAAAGCCACTCTCAACCAGGTTTTCTTGCACCCAGCTCCATTTCCATTCACTTCAAGGACAGCATCAATGCCAACAAGCAGAGATAAGCTTGGGAAATGGAATGGAGCTGGGCTATTGCCATGGAGATGGAGAATCAGACCCAGACTAATACTGCGACGAAGGGGGAAAGCTGCTCAACAAATCGTAGTGTCTAAGTGATGCTGGGCTGTGCAAGGTGGCCAAGAACGGGGCCTGCATCTCAAAGTGACTGCGCTGGAGACGCTGGAGTGAGCCGTACGGTGCTGTCTACGCTGGGGAACACCGACACATTAGAGATCCTGGGAACATCTGCAGAAGGCCATCTCCCGCAATGGGCTGGCAGGGGGCCCTGCTTGGGCAGGCCCAGGAGACAAAGCGAAGCCCAAAGGGGCGTGCTGCAGGCCTGCTTTGTGACACAGGAGCAGCAGCGGTAACTGACACCGAGGAAGAAACAGTTGGCTTGGACCAGCAAGGTAACCGAGGCCAGAAACACACGGGCAGCTCAGCTAGATGGGCACGAACAAGCGAGGCCGTTTATTTGTTTAAAATAACGGGATTACCAACCATCTGCTAGGCGCACCGAGAACAGGCTGGAAGTAAGCTACCCACCGCCCAAGACACACCGACACAGGCAACGAAAATGCGCAACCCCCCGCTCCCCCTTGGAGCCCTGCCCTTCCCAACCTCAACGCACGCTGCTGCGAGAAGCGGGAGACTGAGCATCACACCTCACTTCTGGCCAGAGGCACTTGTGTTTTGCTCAGCTCAAGGCCATGCTGGCAGCTTTCCAGAGCCCACAGGCTGTCTCGGCCAGAAGGAAGCAGCGCGCACAGCAGCTGCTTGGGCTTTCCACGCGCAGACTGGGTCGGGAACACCGCACCCGGCAGCTCTAGGTGCTGCGGATTGCGTCCCGGCACAGAGGAGGAGGAAGGAAGCCAAGAGCCGCACGGGCCACCCCTGCTTTCAGGGGCATGAGACGCCCAAGTGCCTGGGCAGACTTGGGCACTAGCCCACCCCAGCCAAGCAGCTCTATTATCGTGCCCAACTGCGCACAATGCCACAGTGCGCAACTGCACGCTACGGTGCGCAACTGCGCACAATGCTACAGTGCACAACTGCATGCCATGGTGCGCAACTGCGCACAATGCTACGGTGCGCAACTGCACGCTACGGTGCGCAACTGCGCACAATGCTACGGTGCGCAACTGCACACGATGGTGCGCAACTGCGCACAATGCTACGGTGCGCAACTGTGCACAATGCTACGGTGCGCAACTGCACACGATGGTGCGCAACTGCGCACAATGCTACGGTGCGCAACTGCACACGATGGTGCGCAACTGCACACGATGGTGTGCAACTGCGCATAATGCTACGGTGCACAGCTGCACACTATGGTGTGCAACTGCACACAATGCTATGGTGTGCAACTGCACGCTACGGTGCGCAACTGCACACAATGCTACGGTGCGCAACTGCACGCTACGGTGCACAACTGCACACAATGCTACAGTGCACAACTGCACACTACAGTGCGCAACTGCACACAATGCTACGGTGCACAACTGCACGCTACGGTGCGCAGCTGCACACAATGCTATGGTGCGCAACTGCACGCTACGGTGCGCAACTGCGCACAATGCTACGGAGCACAACTGCACACTATGGTGCGCAACTGTGCATAATGCTATGGTGCACAACTACACACTATGGTGCGCAACTGTGCATAATGCTATGGTGCACAACTACACACTATGGTGCGCAACTGCGCGCAATGCTACGGTGCACAACTGCACACTATGGTGCGCAACTGCGCGCAATGCTACGGT